AGCTGTCATTGTTGTTTGGTGGGCCCAGGCTGGATTTGAACCCGCCACCTTAGGTGTATGTGGCCGGCGCCTTAGCCACTTGAGCCACAGGCCTCGAGCTGCATATGTATTTTCATATGTGTATATGAATATTCGTGCATAAAATATCTTCATAGTCCAAAAAGTGGTATTCCTAGGTCAAAAGGTAAAGGCATATGTAATCTTTTCAGATAATACCAAATTCCCCCCCACATGATTTTTACATTTTACATCATTTTACACTTCCACCAACAATATATTAGCCCACAGGTCCCCAACTTGTCTGGCACCAGGGACCAGTTACCAGTTTCATGGAAGATAATTTTTCCATGGACTAGTGCGGGGGTGGGGTGGGAGAAGATTTGGGGATGATTCAAGGAAATCACATTTATTGTGCACTTTATTTCTATCTATTATAGATCATGAAATAATTACACAACTCACCATAGTGTACAATCAGTGGGGGCCTTGAGCTTCTTTTCTTCAACTACACATTTTCATCTGGGGGCGTCGGGAGACAGTGACACCCACAGTGTGCTGCTCATGTCCACTCTACTCCACAATCTGTTTTGGTCGCTGTCTCTGCAAAAAAACACCCTGCTTCATAGGATGCTGGAAATGAAAGCAGGCACACTCTCAGGATGTGCTGCCTTGACGTTAATCTAGAAATACGGAGATTCGAAATTGTTCCAAACATACTTTTAAGACCACCATCATTTGCAATCTCAAACAGACAAATCTTCTAACACAGACAAAGTTGATTCGCCTGGCTTATCCACAAATGGCTTACAAATCCATTCCTTCCCAGTTCAGGGGTCTTTTGTGGTTGGGAAGTGAGGCTCAATCTCTTTTACAAACTGGGATAGGTGATTATGCACCAGCTGAGAGAAAGAAGATCCTCGTTCAGTCTCTTTCAAAATCTCTGCTAATGTTTGGAATATGTCAAAAATCAATCTCACTGTTTACTTATCATCCCCATAATTCCAGTTTTGTTTGAATGTAACCATTTTATCTGCCAGCTTGCACACAGCTATTGTCTTTCCTGAAGTGACAGTAAGTTGAGCAGGTTGAATAGTCACACAAGTAAGCAAGTTTTTTCACTGCAATGTGCTGCCAGTGATGACTATTTTTCTAAAAGAAATCTCTAGAGCATCTCTTATAATTAAAAACCTCTGGCTTGTGATCTACCTTCAGAAAACCATCTCACTTCTGTGTACAAGAGAAAATGTGTGCTCTGCTTCTGTCTCCTCACAGAGCTACACAAACGGATGTGAGCTGAGGGCATGTACTTGAATGTTGCTGTCTTTAATGTGGTTGATAATTTTAATCACATCCTGCAAAACATAGTTTAATTTAGGTGACATTTTTTGGCTAGCCAGCATTTCTCTCTGGAGGACACAGTGTGTAGACTCACTTTCAGATGTGATCTCCTTGACCCGCATAGTAAAACCAGAAAGCTGTCTAGTCATGACAGCCACTCTGTCAGTGCATATGTTTAGACAAAATGAAGAATTCCATTTTCCTGATAAGTAATAATTCAAAGACTTGAATAGTTCTGCTGCTGTGGTGTTGGTTAGCAACAGAAATACATATAACATATCCTCATGTACATCCTCCTCAAAAATGTATCACACAAAAACAAGCATTTTTGCCCACTGATAGACTGGTCAACCTGGATTGTGTATCACAGTGACTCATTAACCCTCTCTAACAATTGTGCCTCGATATCCTTGTTCTTTCATCAATTTGTCTAGATATGGTGTTAGCCAAAAGAAGAGCCACCTTTCAAACTGCACCCTCTCCTAAAAGTTCACAGCAAATGTCCTTAGCAGCAGGCGGGGTCAAGTTTCCACCAATTGTAAAAGGCTTCTTAGATTTAGCCCTGTGGATAGCCACTAAGAATCATGCTCTTCACAATTTTGATGAAACAGTGGCCGTCAGTAATTGCTTCTGTTCTCCATGTTCATGTTTTGTTCTTTCAAAAAACTCCAAAGGGTTTTAATGAAGGGTGCTTGGTCTCCATGTGGAGAAGCAGTTTGGGAGGTTTCCTGACGTCAATGGCTAGCCAGTCACCCCATATACAAAGTGGGCTTGAAGAATGTGAGTCCCCTGTTGCAATGACCTTGTAATTTAATTAGGACTCTTGGTATTTTTTTTTTTAATGCACCTTTCATTTTGTTGGCAGTCTTAGAGTCCTCTGCTCTCTCATCATGGGGTCTTTACTGCTTTCAAAGAAGCTCTCCAATGACATTTATTTTGTACTCACTTTTGCTAGGGTTAGCTTGTAGGCTTACCAAAACTGTGACTGGGAAAATGTGGGAAAGAGACACAGATGAAAGCGGTAAATAAAATAATGGGCAGGCTGTGCACAAACAAAAATAAATGTTGGATTCTGACTTAAAGCCTTCCACCAGATGCAGCAATACACTTCAAGTACATCAACTCATTTGCCTCTATAAAGTGTGACACTGATATAGCTTGTCACTTGCTACTCCCTAATGGGGTTTCTATATAAGTCTGCAGGCACTTGAATTATTATGGTCTCTGTGCAGTCAACCCTCTCTGCTAATGATAATCAGTATTTGCAGCCCCTCCCTATCACTAGCATCATGGGCTCAGCTCCATCTCAGATCACCAGGCATAAGATTCTCACAGGAGCACACAACCCAGATCCCTCATGTGCACAGTACTCAGTAGGGTTCATGCTCTTACCAAATCTAATGTCACTCTGATCTGACAGAAGTGGAGCTCGGGTGGCAATGCAAGCAATGAGAAGTGGCCATAAATACAGATGAAGCTTTGCTCAGATGCAAGCAATGA